CTCTTCGAATTAAATTTTTTAGTTCTTATCAGTAAAAAGTGTAAGTAATTTGCTTAGAATGAGTGAATTCATTTGGAAAAGCAAAATTTTAAACGAAAAAGATCAATCTCAGAATTGTTGAATTTTATTCCTCTCATAAATAATCATAACTTATGTGTATTATGATACAGACTAACGCAAATGAGATTTATAATGAACACAGTTTGGAAATTAGCTTGAGTTTGTAATCGAAAAAATGCTAATAAATGTTTGTGATTTGTAGTATATGGTCAAGCATTATATTACAAGTTCATCATTTTTTTCTGCATTTGTAAAAAAATAAGTAAATATAGTGTGAACTGCTTTATTGCTGCTTCAACAGAAAAGTAAAAGATTGTAATGATAAATAATTGTTGGAGGACTTGCCTTTGGATAAATTCGTAAGTTCAAAAAATTGATATCTTATATTACGACAGAAAGCTTTGCATGCTAAATTCTATTGCGTAATGCAAGAAGAATAAATTAGTGGTCAAAATGTCTACAAAGTAGCATACTTTTATTGTAGTTAGGACTATGCGGAAAGCAGCAGACTTCTTCACGACGTCGAAATTCAGTTGCCAACTCAAAATGCCAATTTAGTAGCCCTAACTCTTGCAGTGTTATCTGAATTCATTCCTTTTTTGACTGACTTTCAAAACGAAATTTTGTTTGCAACTTTTTAGCTGAAATATTCTGTTTGTTTATTTCATCCTTTCAATAATAACTTAATGTCATTTCCTTTAAAATATTATCAAGAAAATGGATAGTTATTTCATATTGAGCACTCTTTCCGCTAATAAAAGTATTTTGACATGAAAATTACGATTAATGATTGTGAAATAATACCTCTGACATTCTATTCTATTTATAACTTTGCAAACGAAATAATTTTTTCTTGATGGATTGACTTTAAGTTGTTAGTTGCTCATGAATAATCATGCAGTGTAGCCGACCAGTTTTTAAACTTATTTCAGTCGTTGACAAATGAATTAATTTTCGACTAAAACCAATTCCAGGCACTACTATTCTTATTCTGGATCTACTGGCGTTGCATATTATTAGTGCTGAGGCATTATATCACCAATCGACTTAAATTTCAAATTGTTTTGAAACATAGAAAAAACTGAAGTAACAAAGTAAATGAAATTACGCTCACTGTGAATGCTACCAGTTTTCTAGATATTTGCATTTATTTGATTTTTGTTACAAAAAAATTGACACAAATCTTTGTAAGTGATAACTGAACGAATTTTTTGTTAATAATTCATTTTTAAAGCCAATTTCGTGCATGAACTTTTTTATGAGGATTACGCTGATTTACCCATAATTTTCAATCAGCTGATCTGACAATCTTTTTGTATCACTTAAATTATTCCAACATGAATTTTACTTAAAAACTGCTCCATCTAGATTTACTTGAAGTGATGGAGAATAGCTATTCCGAGCAAAAATAATCAGTATTTTTACTATTTTGATATTGGAATTAAAGTAAATTAGATTTTTAGAATTTATATTGACCAGCAGCTGAGCCTTGTCTCAATTGTTTTCCTTCAGTTTTTGCCCAAAAAATTCTTGCAGTCTTAATTTATCTTGTCTGTTTTTGAAATTTCATATTATCAATTGAACAACAGTGAAAATGAAAAACGATATTATTTTTGGCAGTTTCAAAACTTATTGATTTTATTCCAAGTGGTTTTCCATCGTGCACTAAAAATAATGAGTTGTATAAATACTTTTGAACAGTCTTATATCTATTTGATTTTTAAATGATTACTGTGCAAAACATAGACTTAATGAGGTTTAAAATTTGAATATCCTAATCAAAATTTAGCAGTTCAGACTGATTTAAAGCAAAGTTCTATTCTTCTGGATATATCATATGCTTAGTATTTAATTCGAACTGCACTGTTCTGGTCCATAATAATCCAAAGTTGGAGCAAATAAACGGGACTGTTGAACTATTAAGAACCATATTTTTTTCAATGGCATTACAAAAAAATGAAATACAATGTGCCTGATTATATTTTCCGTTTTCACTTGGCACTTACAATTTTTAACAAAAGTTTAATGAGGAATGTGAAAATGCTATCGTAGTAACAATTATTTCATATTTTGCACTGGATTAATGATTGCAAATCAAGGTTTAAAAATTTGAATAGATAAAAATTCAAAACTGTTTTCAATTTCTCGTTTTCAAATATTTTCTAATGTTATTTAAAGAAACGTTTCATTTTATCTTTTCCATGCAGTGCTAGAAAATTGTTTTTTCTTTCATGTTGAATGAATTTTTAATATGCATTAATATTCAGCTATATTCAATTTTTCCACTCTTATTTCTGAAAAATGTTTTGTTTTGCCTTAAACTTTGGAGACTTCTTGAGAAATTAATAGGTTGCGAATTCAAGATTACTTGCTGATTTTGAAAAAACCTCAGGATTACCTGATTAAATTTATTAATCGATAGGTGAAATTAGCCACATCTATTTCTTTTATTTTCAACAGTGACGTCGCTATTTGACAGTGAGACAATCAATTTTTGCATTCGCAACTTCAATCTAATCCAATACAATTTTATGCAAAACAAAGTAAGAAGCAGTTTTAGTCTAGCGATTACGAAAAAATCAACACATATATTTAATTGTTAATCGGTTCAAATTGTTCATAATATTTTAAGTTCATACTTAAAATAAGATGTTAGTCATCAGTAAAGATAAAATAAATCAGTGGACGACTTATTTTTTAAGAACATATCAATTATTATAACTCAATGAATATATTTTATGATCATTGATTTGTTGCAGTTGTAAAAAGAGATCATTATGAGAGAGATCATTTGATATAAAAGGCACAGAATTTTTCGCAATAAATGAGTTTATTGCTCACTAAAATTTTGCGCTTAGATACAATCTGAATGATATATCTCCTTAATATTTAAATATAATCTAACACTTTGGTTGTAGTTCATAACTATGACCAGTGTTAGATAGATCATATTTTTCAAATAGATCTACTAATGACGTCAAAATACATATTGTTGTGGTATTATTTCTAGAATAGAACTTTGCAGTTTTATGATTTACATGTTTATAAGAGAACAGCACGGTTAGATAAACAAAAGTTATCTTCGTTGAAAAAAATGTATTTCATTTACTAAGTGGTATGGTGAAATTTAGTCCTTTTTTCTTTCAGAATAAATTATATGTTTATGTTTACTCTTTTAACTTTTATGCGATATTCCGAAAAAGGATTCAAACGAGCTGCATTATCGAAGTTGTGATTTCCACAACTTTAGAATTATTTCTTTGAGTGAATGAGTGACTTTTGAATTTTGGAAAAAGTTTTACTTGTGTTGCTTGGAGATATTTTGCTTTAGATATTTTCTCTTTCTTAAGTCAAATTGAATTTTTGCTTGAGAAGTTCAATTTGACAAGTTCATTAAAGCGTAAGCTGATATAATTAGTAATAGTATTAGTCATCTTATTATTCGCAACCTCAATTTCCAGTTTAGAATTATTCAATTGACATTCTACTTCGAATAATCTCAAGAAAAAGTCTATATTAAAGTTTAAAGTCAGACTAATAGATATAAAAGTGAGCGAATAAGAAGAAATATACTTAATTTAGAGAGTGAGAAAATACTGAATTCTGTGGTTTGAATAGCGAAAAAATCCAACATCGATATCAAAGATGCTTTGCAATGTATTGTGCTGCAAATTTTATTTTCTCCAATTTCTACGAAAGCCATGAAATTTCAGTTGAAAATCAAACGTTTTGATAATCACCTTCATTGTTTACTTTTATTTTAAAATTTAACTCAGCTTAAATAAGTTGCTGACAGCTAGTTATCACAGATATTTTAAAGATTAAAACTTACAACAAAATGATTATACCATGCATTTTGAAATAAAAACATAGTTCAAATATTCTAATGATTATTTTCCAAATCATTTTGATCGTTTGATAATTTGAATCAGTTTATTGAATTTTTTAATGAAATTATTAATGGAAAATCAGTTAGCTTAGAACAAAATCAGCTTGTAAGTCATTGCGCAAATGAAAACAATTATTCCAAACCATAAGATAACAGTCAACAAAATTATTTTAAAATAAATACGAATTATCAAACAATCCCTGTTAATTGCAGCTTAATCCACTCATTAAGGATTCTGGCGTATTAAAGTATTGACAGTAATTAGCAAACTTGAATTGCGTAGCTAAAATATTTCAATAGAATGACAACACTATCTAATTACATTTCTATTCACATATTAATAGAAACATATGTCTGTAAAATCTGAGTGATTTTAAGCAGAATATTAAAAAGTGACTGTTTGTTTTTAAAGATGAGAATTGCTTCTCAGCTCTGATGTTAAGTTTTAAGGCTATGTGGCATCCAATCAGCGAATCATGCTTGCGATGTTTGCCTAATCAAAATTGAAAGATGATGGCAAGAAGTTGAGTAGCTTGAAGAACAAAAATGTGAAAATAAGTTTGTATCAAGTAATTATTTTCAGAGCTTCATTTCAGAAATAAATTTGTTTTTATGCTAAAGTAGATTTATGTTTTAGTGCTAAAATAGTTTCTTAATTCCTTATAAAAACCATACGATATCAAAATGCAACTTTTAAAAACGTTTTCTAAATTTCCTGTCATTAGTAAAAAATGCTTACTCTTTCTTTCTGAAAGAAATATTACAAATATCAACGAAATATCATTTTATTTCAAGTGTTACAGTGAAAATTGCTTATATTTTTTATTTACGATAGCTGTTTATTTCTTTTCATCATTTGCAATTTTTATGTAGATCTTATTTACCCATTTGATCCTTTTTCATCATGACAAGCTAGAAAACGATATATATTTTCAATTACAGTTTCTACTCAACCTTTAATACCGAACAAAATTTTTTGATTTTAGGATATGTCGATATCAATGTGTAATTTTTAAAAAGGATTCAAAATTCAAAATATTTCTGAGGAAAAATGCAATGTGAAAATGACCTACCGTTATTCGATCCAAATGCTTCCATCGCAATACAGCAAGCATTGCAAAGCTTTCAATCGTTAGCTTTTTAATTTGTCAGGAAAAAGTTGGTCATGCTTAAGAAACTCTTACAAACTTTCAAACTTGGCTGTATCAGTTTGCAATACTTGAAAAAATCTTTCAAACCTGAAAGAAATCGCGGACAACTAGGTAAGTGTAAGTGAGTTGGGATAAATCTGATCAATTCTAGAAAAAGTTATAAATGTACCGAGATTAAGTACAGGCATCAGATTAAGAAATTTTTTTAAAGCTCTTGACGTTGATAGCGACAAAAAACATTTTTACAGAAATGTGTTAAAAGGTTCAATTTTGCAATCTGCGTTAATTTTTCACTTTTTAATAGTATTTAATATTCTACTTTTGTAATCTCTGATTTAAATTATAATTTTTTGCTTATCTGCATAATTACCATTCACTAAATGAAAGCATGATGAAAATAGGGCCTGAATAAGGATTTTCCTTTAATACTAAATATGAACAAAAACATTTGTTATGTCTTACAGAAACAGGAATTGTACGGGTGCTCAATTTATCGTCGATATTACCATCAAAAACTTAATCATACCAATCCTTTTGTAAAATAAACAGCACATCTACAAAATAATTTTTTAACTAGAGTTAAAATGCTAATGGTGATGCATGATTTAAGGACTTACGATACGTTACATCCTTACGTATGTCTGGCTCTTTGTCCTCTGGGTATTGTAGCAAATCTCATTCACATACTAGTGCTCACCAGATCGAAAATGTTGAGATCAGCAGTGAACTGTATTTTGGTGGTAATTGCCGTATGTGATATTATCACTATGAGTTCATATCTGATGTACATTATAAAATTCGAGTTTTTCGCTCCATCATCTAGCACTGGAGTTAGGTAATAACAGCCTTTTTGATTATTATTCATTTTCAAGTGATGTCAAGCGTTATTGCATGAATTGTACCCACTGATATTAATAATAATTGTAGTGAAATTTTTGCCATCGCGGAAATAATTGGAATTTAGACTTTGTTCTCAAAGTAATTAATACGCAACCTGAAGATTATTCATTTTATTTTGTAAAACTTCCTCATTTATTATTACTGACATTGCTGTTATTATTATTTCAATTAATATCAAAAAATGACATTGTTAACGATGACAAGAATAATGATAATAATAATATTAATAGTAATAATTAATAATAATTAATAATGACAATAATTATTATTACTAATAAATAGCCATATTATTATTACCACGAAAAAATTAGTCATCGGTTTTCTTTTTCAGTTATTCTTGGGTAGTAATGTTGAAAATACATGCTGTTGTAACAATTGCGCTACATGGAATTACTTTGTATTGTTGTGCAACTTTAGCTATTATCCGATGGAGTGCTTTGGCAAAGACTAGAAATCTTTGTTTTCAACCTCTTACTGCGTGGTTTGTATTTTTATTTTTCAGTTTTATCAATTTTACAGCAAGGAATTTCAGGAAGAATTTTGAAAAATATGAATAATTATAAGTTCATTTCAGAATGTTCATTTTTGGTATCAAATTGTTATTTTTGGCGTAATTTTAAAATATCAAGGAGCATTGACGATTTCTTTTAATTAACTAATTTACTAATTTAACGGCATTTGCGTTATTTTTTTTTAATATGATTGTTATTGTGCTGCATCAATATTGTCAAAATGTAAGCTGTGGAAGTTGAACAATACTTGACTTTTAAAGTTGTCCCTTTAACTGAAGCTGATAAAGATGATTGATCTTATTTTTAAGCAAATGCAGTGTGACATGAACTAGGTAAAATTCAGGTGCATATCAGGCGTGATCGCATCAATTGTAGGAATTATCTGTATTCCAACATTTTTGGTTCATGAAATCAAAGTTGTTTGGTAAGTTGTTAACTGAATTGAGCTACAATACAATGTAAGTTACAAATAGCTTAAGCACTAAGTACCTGAAACATTCTTTGGAGTTTTGAGAAAGCTAGAAATGTCATTAGTAAAAAATGGTAAATTGCGAAGTCAAAGAGTAGAATACTTTATGAAAAAATTTATTTCATTTCTACTGTAATATAAACAATCGCATTCCAAATTTGCCGTGAAGGCAGAAGGTATTTTGTAAAGCTGGACAAACTTACAAAATTATAAATTGAATTAATTTGCAGTGAAAAATTAAAAGCTATATTTGAGCGCTAAAATTTTATTTTCATTTGTTTTTCAGCAGTTTTTTACCAAAGATTTTGATTTTTTGTTCTACACAATCGCCGTAAGTATTAATATGGTTTTCTATTGCATCTAATGCATTGGAAATGTTGCAGCTTTAAATTATTGTACTAATGTGTCAAGCTTTTTTTATCTAAGGATTAATGGTGGAGAGTTATTCTATACTATTGATATATCAGAATGGGCAATTCGCGATAGCTGCAGATATTTCAAATTGAATTTATGGATTTTAGGCATAGCTTTAAAGGTTTGATTGCCGCTTCAGCTTCTTATTAGATAAATCGCTCTCGTGATACCTTTATTCAGTAGTGTTGCTTAATTAGCCTGTTATATTGATTATTCGTCGCGTATGTATTTCATTGCCAGAGGTTTCATTGACTATGTTGTATAATTTTGAGAAAGCTAAAAATATTATTAGTAAAAAATGGTAAATTGCGAAGTCAAAGAGTGAAATACTGTATGAAAAAAATTTGTATTATTTGTATGTAAAAATCTGTACTATTTACATTAATTTTGTACTGAAGGACAGTAATAGAATAGAAAAGATTAGAAATCGCAATTTGTTTCATGACTTAGTAGAGGCTTATCAACTAGTACAATTCGATTAATACTGCAGGATACTGAGCAGGATAGAAGAATATTGATGAGAGTAAATGCAAAAGCAAAACTTACAAATTTAATAAAACTAGAATGAAACAATTTGCTTCTTGTACATGTATGCTGAAATAACAGCAAAGATCCAAATTTTCTCCCAGAAATTTCCCTCATGACATTCTATGAAATTTCCGTAATTTTGTTTCATTCAATCATTTTCTTTTTCGTCGAAAACCAACTATGTTTAAACCTTTATTATAAAGCATGAATCGTAGAGAAAAATTCCATAAACTGACTGAAAGCACTGAATGAGGTGGTTATTAATCTATCTGCATGACTGATATAATTTTCCAGCTTCATAGTAATTCAACTATTAATTACTACTTTTGTTAAAACTGCGCTTGCAATTCAGTTGCTAATAGTATTTTTGTTACTGTTATTGATTCTATCTTGAGTTTCATTATTACTAGTTATTTTACTCGAAAAAATGACGGCTTTCAGGCTCTGCCATGTCTTCTGCTGTGCTGTTTCACAATTCTGTTGGTTCTTCGCTTACGAGGAAATTTAAAACGAAAGCAGATATTACTTTGTCGAGATTACAATGTCGCAAATGTAAAAAAGAGCGAAAACTGTAGTGCCGCTGTGAAGAGAAACAAACGTAACTACGATCGTACTACATTTACCCTCATCGTCATGCTTTCCGTATTTCTGGTGAGTAACTTTTTTTTCCCTGTCTCTTTATTCCTCTTTAACTGTGATCCTCAATATTATTTGACTGACATTATCATTTTCACTCTCATAAAAGTTTATCATTCATGAAATTTGACTAAACTGAATATAAATCGAATTTCATCACAGAAAATCCCGTCTCTTTTCACAACAACTAGTATTTTATTTTACTTCTTAGTATTAATTTAATATTCTAGAAAACATTTTTGATATTTTCTAACTTTTTGAGGTTATGTCAACTTAGTTTGTCGCACGACTTATTGTTTCTCTTCATCAATCTTAATGTGTTACTTTATTACTTTTCATCCTTTTCAACACATTAAGATACATTTTTCCAATATTTTTTTTAGATAACCGAATTACCACAAGGTGTATTAGCAGTGCTAAATGCGCTACATACAAACGATGTACACACAATTCTCTACAAAAATTTGGCTAATTTACTAGACTTATTATCTCTTATTAATTGTTATGTTGGTTTTCTAACATATTGTTTTCTGAGTTCAAAATACCGACAAACGTTCATCATTATGCTTGTTAATTCGTGAGTTCGTGATCACTTTGAATTTTTTAATCTCACTTTGCAAATTTTCGAGTATGCAAATCTAAGCATCGTGCTGTCTAAATTTCGAATTCATCAGTAATGTTGACAGAAAATATTTAGTAGCAAAAGTACCAGCCACAGTCTAATAATATTTACTTAAATTTTAAGAAACAAAAAAATCTTTGCGTATGCTCAAATTATGATAATTAATGGTTACCATTATTATTGATCATAATAATATCAACTATTATTATTTATAAAAGATTGTGATCCAATTATCATGATAATAATTATTTATTTGCAACAAGCATCATATACCAAATTTGAGCCTTTCAGCTCAATAATCATTTTACAAATATTAGATTGTTTTCAATTTAATATAATACATTTCTGTAAAAAAGCTGGAAGCAAAATTTGTACTTATGCGACAGAAATTTTCAGGAGACGAAAAGGAACAGTTATATTTAATCCGTCAGGATGTTATTCAACAATTTTGAAATTATGATTCAGTAAATGCAGAAGCAACTGAAAAATAAATTTGGCGCTGTAAATATTGCATTTGTGTAACATTTTAAAAATTTTTTAAGAGTGAAATTCGAGTTTGCACGAAATTTTAAGAAATTCATGATTTACAGTAATTTTTAATGGGCATATCACTAAAATTTCAAAAGTGCAATATATCTTACATTAGAATTGCTTTATTTTTGGTATGTTTCGATTTGAATTATTTTTGGAGAAAATTAAGTTATCACCAATACGAGATTAATTCATCACCAAAATCAAGTCATCATCAAGACGTGATTAATTTGATAGCGTACGTGAAGGATAATCCAGAAATTGATGAGCTATTTTTGGTAAATTCATTGTAATAAGTGCTTTTTTATCGAAATTGGTGTTTCTAAAGTTACCACAAATGTTTTGCTGACAGTCAAGTCTTGTGAAATAGTAGCATAATATAATAATCATTATTACTAAATAATAAAGTTAATAATATTTGACTGTTTTTGGCAACATGTCTTCATGATAACAATTGTTTCAACTGCATATTTTCCTAAATTTATCACTAGTCAAAGCTTCGAATTGAAGCTCCACAAACTAATCATTATACTAGGATTGAAATGAGAAAATGAAAATTATGATAAAAAATTAAAAGAATGGATTGACTCATCATTTACAAGCCACTTAATTTTCCATGCAAATAAAGCATTTAATTAAGTAATAAAAAAGCACATAAATAGTTTGCAACATATTTAAAGCTTTTTCAAACTATTTTTCCCATCGAATTTTTTGAATTGCTCTACGATTCATTAACAAGATAAAATGTAAAATCTAGGTCATTTCCAAAATGCATGATATCGAAATGTAACTAGATAATAAATATACGTAACGGAGGCATGACTGCACAAATGTTAAAACTTATCCAGCTTCGCTATTAATAATTAGCGATGGGTCACAACACCAGTTCCAAGCTAAATTAGCCACCATTAAATTATTTCAGCAAAATTCAAATTTCATGCTTAATGACCTTAGGCTAATAAGTTTCAATCATTATAAATTACAGTCTTTTGTTGGCAAATTTTGATCTGTGTTTTTTATTATTAAAGGAATAATCATAATATGAAAAATAATTTGCATAATAACAATAAAAACAACAATTAAAAAGCAATTTGTTGATGTTCTCAGCATTTCGCTGCTTGTTATCATTGTTGAGAACTTAATCACCATATTAATCTCACAAACGTATTAAAAATGCATATTTTCTAATGGAGTCAAAATTAATGAGATGAAAAATTTTTTGATATTAAAAAAGTAAGAAAACCTGAAGTTCTGTTGTTTTCGTTAACACCTACAGTAAAAGCAATAAAATAACAAACAGATAGTCAAAATGCAACAATTAACCTGTAAATTGATAATTGTAGCAGGAATGAACTCAGGGAATGTTTATTTCTGACAAATTAGAAATTATGAGGAAGAAAATAAAAAAGCAGAGTACAGAGAACATTAGGATTAAATTTGATTAAAGATTCTGTTTTTTCTTCTGAACAGAATAACTGTGTTAATGGTTAGCAGCAAATAGAAGTGACAGAATTCAAAGTTGCATTTCGGTTCATTTAATTTCTACTTTTTCACTTAGTTTCATTAGAATTTATAAAAATTCTTTTCATACTTGTCTTGACCATTTTGAAGGAATATTATTGCTGTTGCTCACTTGCAACTGTTTGAACGAAAAAATGTTCTATAGCAAACGCTTTGAAAAGCGTCCGGCAACAAGAAAAATATTTTTAAATATTTGACGTGTAATACGGAAGCAACCTGATGCGTAAGATGAAAGAATAAGTAATATGCTACAGGATAAAATAGTGTGTGGTCGCAGTCAATTTTGAAAACAATAGAAAAAAATGAGGTCAAAATTTAACTATTGACTGCAGCTTACTTGGATACAACTTGATGTTTACGAACATAAATGAAATCAAATTTTTACTGATCCTTATTTTTGTTGCGCGAAATTTTAAAAAATGAAGAATTATTTGATGCTCAAACAGTTAGTAGGAGTGATAAAACTGCACTATCTTTCGACTCGTATACCTAAAGTATAAAACTGTTGCCATGGATAGTGTTACGGATATCAAAGAGACTCCTGAAAGTATCCATATACTGAACGTAGATATACATATGTCATTCTCACGATTGTAGTTCAAAGTGCTTGACTTGATGGACTTTACTGGTAGATCCAATAAATCTGTAAAATCAGAAACTGATCAATTAATTGATTGAAATAACTTGGGTAATAACAGTAAGGACAAAGACAAAAAGTCGAAGGGTTGATTTTGCATCATAAAAGTTTATTTAAGTTTTTCACTTTTGAAAAGTTAAAAGTTGTCTCAAATGTTGAAAGTCGCACTCATTCAAATTAGCATTAAAAGCATGAGTAATTTTGAATGATGAGACAAGTTGAAAAATCAATCAGCTGCACTCTTAGAACAACCAGTTGGTCATTCAATTCCAGAATTTTTTTAAAAGCTTCTTTACAAAATGTGTTTCACTTTCCATGAATTATATTATATACAAAAGTAAGACAAAGACTTGGACATAAAGGAAGCAGATATACCAAAGCCTTCTTCTAGAATTTTTAATTCAGGTGTTGTTACATCCAGATCAACGATGCTGTAGTCGCTTTCAGTAATAGTCCGTCGACCTCTTGTTGGATTCGAATCTTTGCTGACTTTTATCTGGGGTGTTGTTGCAATGACGCTTATATGAGATATTGTTAAATCGTCAGTTATGCTCGTTTGATCCATTACTATTATGTTATCTAAGTCATTTTTAGCATCTTCACCCGAACCTTAATATCATTTTTTCAAAAAACTATGAAAATCTTAAATCAAAGTGTCAAATAAGCGAGATTAAGACATCAGTTAAATAAAATATCTAAAAGTTAAAACAAAACAAATTTAGCTCAATATTAATATTAAAAAGTCTGTTCTCCATTACCAATACGGAAAAAAATCAATGGCTGACCAAAGCAGATGATCAGTTGCTCAAAATAAATATTTAATTATATGAACTGAAACTCGTTATACTTGTTAAATATCCAGCAATAATGAAAACTGAAATAACCTTCAACAGCTTGTATATTATGCATTGCATGGCTATTACTCTTGTCCAAATTTTCTGAATCAGCAGAATCATTTCGAAATTCACTGTTAGCTGGGACTTTCACTTTTGATGCCTGGTGTGCACTACTGATGCTCACATTACTAACTGTGGGGAAGGCTGCAACAAAAGAGGACAGTGAAGACTGAGGTGAGCTTCTGGACGATGAAAGTGGCACTGTATTTGGAGAGCCCGTAGATTGAATGCGAACTGTTTTTGACGTGGCAAGTGGACCAGTAGTTGTGTATAGAAGTTGATCATTTTGTAAATCTTCTTCGATTGTTTTCAGTTCTACTTCGGACTTTGTTGTAATGCCCACGGGTTCAATATTACACCGTGGAGGCTAATAATTTGATTTTGTAAAACATTGGTAGCGAGTATTACAGCGTAAGAATTATAATAACAGTGATAAATAATTAAAGAGCAGTCATCATTAATATTAGAATAGGTCAAAAGGGCAAATATTATAATAATTTCAAAAAAGTTAGCGAGGGAATTAAGCATTCTCAGTTACTTAATTAAAAATATGTTTTAGAGAACTTTTTTGAAAATACTGAAATATTACCGTTAAATCCGAGCAATAGTCTCCTTTTTTGAAGCACAACTTTACTTGGCAACTAAAATATACTGACTCCCGATCCGGAAGATTAACAACACTTGCACCCTGGAAAAAATGACATAAACAAGACAATTTGTTCTGGAATGTTTCCTGGTCTAAATTCTTGCAACAGAAAGAATTTTACTCTGTCCGAACAACAGCAGAACAGTGAGTAAATTTATGCCAGCTGAAAAGATTTGAGTACCTCAACTCGATTTGATTGCAACTAAAAAATTGGACTTCATAAAATGCCTGCATTATACAAAATTTTTTGAATTCTTGATGATGTGATCAAAATTCTTCTTGCAACAAGAATTTTGCAAGCTTAAAAATTAAAGTAAAACTGTGCTCAACTGATATGCATTAATAGGTTCTAATCAACGATTAATGATGGTCTAACTTTTGTAAAATAATGTCCACAAAGCAGTTTTACTGATTTTAAATCTTATTTGCGAAAATCAATGCTTGCAGACGTTTTTCACAAAAGAAAAAGCGACAATTCTTTTAATTAATGATAATTGAAAATGAACAAAAGTTTTGTCTTTTTCTTATGACTGCACCATCACCTGATATCGCTCAATTAAATCACTGAAATATAAATATAAATATAGAGCTTTTGAACAAACCGTAAAGCAACGAGTAAGTTCATCAGAATATGTTAACTGCGGAATGATGAAGTCATCAGTTGAACATCTGAAAAACTCTTCCTATAATTCTGACAGTTTTAAAAAGATTGTATATATATATATATATATATATATATATATATATA